AGAAGCCCGATCCCCGGTCTTCTTTCTCCTTCCTGCCGCACGAAAGCGGTGCCGTTCTCTACGGTGGATATTCTCGTGTAAAAGCAGCCACGGGAATCAACGGCAAGCCCGTCAAGGGTGGTCCTCAACGCATGACCATGAAGCCCATGGTGCACCAGGATACCTGGTTCCTCCGGGTTACTCCCCCGGGCCCTGAAGCTCCTGCTAATGCTGCGCCCACCGTCCGCTGGGAGCGCCGGAAGAAGCCCGCCAACTCTCCCAACCCTCCCCGTGCCGGTGCCACGATGGCATACCACAAGGGACGTGGCATCATGTTCGGTGGTGTCCATGATGTTGAATTGAGTGAGGAAGGCATTGACAGTGAATTCTTCGACACCATGTTCGCCTGGAACACCGACCGGAACCGTTTCTTCCCCTTGACGCTCCGCCGGCCCAGAGCGCCAGGCAAGAAGCAGCTCGCTAACCAGATGAAGTCTAAGGACCGCAGCAAGGCTGACGAGGAGGAACTCCTGCAGAACCTGAAGGCTCTCGAGGCTAAGAAGGGCATTCGCAGCGAGGAGGACGATGACTTGCAGCCTGAGACACCCAAGGAAGATGAGCCTGAGGAGCCTGCGAAGCCTGCGATCGTGCGCTTCGAGATGCCTCACCAGCGATTCAACGCGCAGCTGGCCGTTCAGGATGATACCTTGTACATCTTTGGTGGTACTTTCGAGAAGGGAGATCGGGAATTCACCTTCAACGACATGTACTCGATTGATCTCGTGAAGCTCGATGGCGTCAAGGAGATCTTCTACAACGAGCCCGCTAACTGGCACCTTCTCAACGAAGCAGACAGCGACGAAGAGATGGATGACGATGAAGAGGAGGATCTCGAAGACGAGGAGGAAGAGGAGGACGCGATGTCGCTGGACACTGGTTCCCCCGCCCCCACGGAAGTAACCGTGCCTTCTGTCACCCAGGAGATGGAGAACCTGGAAGTAGAGGAGCAAGAGGGTGAGCCGTCTGTGCAGGATAGCAGACCTCTTCCTCGTCCGTTTGAAAGTTTGCGTGACTACTTTAGCCGCACAGGCGAGGACTGGCAGCGTATTCTGTTGGAGACATTGAAAGAGAAGGGCATCGCTACGGAGAAGAACATCAAGGAGCTACGAAAGGATGCGTTTAACATGGCAGAAGAGAAGTGGTGGGATAGCAGAGAAGAGGTCATGGCTTTGGAGGATGAGCAGGAAGAAGCTGGTATTGGAGAAGTTGTTAGCATTGCTGATCGGGGTGATAATGCTGGCGGTGCTGGAAGACGCAGGTGATGCACATATACCTTGGATAGTTAGATTGAAATCTGTTTGGCCTTTTCGTATCACTTTTACGGATCCTCGTGATATAGTACCCTTCATCTGACTTGACTTCAACTGGGCTTTTGCTTGGATCTAGTTCTTTCAGTATCAGTAGTACTAACTTCATGTTTTGGAAAAAAAGCAACTTATGCCAGCGTTGTCTGACTCAGTTTGAGTACCTAGCTGAACAGAAATATATATCCGAGGAACGGCAACAAGTTGAACCTAGTAGGCCCATTCCAAGCACCCAGTCCACAATCAACGCCAGACTATTGACACCACTATTGACAGTGTGCAAATCAAGCACCTAGATTATTCATTCTAATCTAATTTAAACCTAACTCTCTCCCCATCTTCATATCAATAAGCATTTACATGTCCGACCGGCCCTCTTCAAGGACGGCTCTCCATCCACTAAACCTGATCGAGTAACCAACTGGTCATGACGGCATACTCCCGGACTTTACTCGTAAACGCCGGGGATGGAGGGACTTACACGCAAATTATCTCCGGAAGTCGTAGAATCTGATGGCTGAGAAATCGCGGGTATATAAAGGGTGATGATTCTGCAATAATGAGCGGTTTGGTTGTTACAATAGCACCAAAGAGAGTAGTTTGGCTGCGCGGTTTCCCTTTTCTGGATACTATAATTATACTATACAGTGACCCGTTAGCCTGCTTTGTCTTCAACCGTCATTGGATACTATTTCTCATCTTGTTAAAACATCTGGCCGAACTTGATTTTTCATTACTAGTTACTAGCGATGCCGTTCCTCGCTGGAAAGGAAATCACCCAGAATGGGTTGGGGCTTATGCGTGAGTTCTCCCTCGTTCCCTTCCCTCTTTGCTTTGTGTTTGTTTGGTCCAGGGGCTTGTCTGGTACTTGAGCTCTCATTGGAAAAGCTCGTATATTGATAAAAACATACCGCAGGTTTCACCCTGTCGGACGACGTGACACCAGATGAACAAGCATTCAAGGTCCTCAAGGCAGCGCTGGCAGCTGGCGTCAATGTATGGAACGGAGCAGACTTCTACGGGACACCCGAGAACAACTCATTGCACCTCATGAATCGCTACTTCACAGCTTATCCTGAAGATGCAGACAAGGTAATCCTTTCGATCAAGTCCGGCGTTGCGAGCATGAAGACCTTCGCTATGGACTGCTCTCCTGCCGGACTTCGCGGCTTCGTGGACAACGCCCTGAAGATCCTGGACGGCAAGAAGAAAATCGACATTTTCGGCTGTGCGAGAGTTGATCCCAATGTTCCAGTTGAAGAGAGTATTGAGGCACTAGCTGAGTTGAAGAAGGAGGGTAAGATTGGGGGTATTCAACTGTCGGAGGTGAAAGCCGAGACTATTCGCCGTGCGGCGAGCGTTGCGAAGACTGATATGCTGGAGGCGGAGGTGAGCTTATGGGCTATGGATGTTTTCCGTAATGGTGTCGCAGAGACGTGCGCGGAGCTTGGTATCCCCATTATAGCGCACACACCGCTGGGAGCGGGGATGTTGACTGGCGCGATTAAAAGCCCTGATGACTTGCCGGCGCACGATCATCATCGGTTCTTTCCTCGATTCCAGGCCGATAATCTTGCGAAGAACCTTTTGCTTGTTGATGAGCTGGAGAAGATTGCGGTTGCGAAGGGGTGCACTCCGGCTCAGTTGGCTTTGTCGTGGGTTAAAGCGCAGAGCAGAAAGCCTGGAATGCCGCTTTTTGTCCCGGTTGCGGGTGCGAGATCTGTATCCAGGGTTATTGAGAACGTGAAGGATGTCGACTTGACTGATGATGACCTTGCACAGATTGCAGTCCTTCAGGAGAAGTATCCAGTCGCAGGGGAGAGGTTTCCGCCTGCGGCAATGAAGCTGAACGAGTACTAGGCCGGGCAAATGCACGTGGGACGACCCCGGAATCAGATAGAAAAATCCTCTCTTCCAATTGAAAGCCACATCTTCCAAGTGTTTCGCGGCATTTGATAACCATCATGTAGCAAATAATCCAGTGTCTTATGCTGTGAAGGAGCTTGCTTCTCTTTCACGAATTGTAATCGCTCATGAATATACAGCCTCGATTGAGCTGGCTTTGCAAAAACTTCTTTGGCCACATATAGATGAAACAAGAGTGTTGCCGATTGGATATTGGAGACCTCATAAAGAAGCCTGCTGTTAGCCCCTGTACCAGGTATGGAGAGGCATATGTCTGTAGCAAGGGAATGCATTCGGCAGATAGACTCATGAAGTTCGGCCATGGCCCAGGAATCATTGGCGGAATTTCCTAACACCCGAGCATATTGCTCGCGTATGAGTTTCAGTAGCTGAATACGGAGAACCCGGATGTTGTTCCAGCACCTCTGTGTATTAAAGTCAGGATATATGTCCGGCTTGGTTGACGGAATGCTTGGGGGTTCAGGGCTCTGCCTTCTCGAGAAGAAAGAAGGCAGATATTTAGACAATCGATCAAGATCTTCGTCAAGTGCCTTGGCTTGATAAATGACGCCTTCCGCAGAAATGGAAGATTTCGCGGTATGCTCCAACTGTGCATAACGCATCATGATTTCCAAGAATCTCCACCTTGGTGACGATGTGTCTGCACCGGCTTCAAGAGCTTGCTGTCGCAATGCTAAGAATTGAAGTGGAATATCAGCTTCATTGGCAAGGCAATCAAGAACAACAAGCTCGGTTAGATGCAAAAACATCTTAGCGCCCCCATCGTCTGTAAATTGGCCATTCCCCCTCAAGGCCATCAGCTCAATGGCACCTTTTAGATGTCCGTTGCGAATGCATAACCCTCGTTGTTCTACGTCGGCGAGGCGTTCAAATATACTCATGAGCAACACCGAGAATAGAGTCCTATCCAACAAAGCTTCTTTTCGTGACTGGATCGCTTTTCGAGTCAAAGACAGAGCTGATCCATAGCTGTTTCGAGCATGATAGAGAGCTGGGGGATATCCCTGCAGCGACGAGAACGTGGCCATGAAAAGCGCATTGATCATGGTTTCGAGAAGAGGATAGTCGTCTGACTTGGATGGGTAAAAGACCTGCATATATGAGTATATGCCCGTTGCAGGTGTGCCTTGCACATATTGCGAGATATATAGGTGTTTTGCGCGTTGTAATACTGTCGGGAGAAGGTTCGTTGATAGAGGCCCTGAAGAAACTGGATGATCTAAAGAGCGCTTCCTCAGTACTCTCCCAGCCGTAGCAGAGGTCTCATCAAGTATCAACAAATCTGTTGACTTCTGGTAACCAGAGCATGTTAGGCCAGCGCGGGAACACTGGGAGCAGCCATCTTCTTTTTTATCGCACTAGTGAGAGGTGTGAGCCTGGCTCAGTCATGAAGTCGAAGAGTAGGAATCATCATACTTTGATATCTCGTTTGCGGCACTCCCGGCACGATTTGGAAGGCCTCCCGCGATATACCATTATGACTGATGCAAAGGAAACCTTATCATTACGGCACCAGGCTGCCGGGTTACCAGCAGGCTTATGAAGGAGAGAAGAGCCGGAGCATTTGTCTCGCAGATGATCATGTCAGATTAGTCATCGCATCGCCATCCATGGAATCTAACAAGGGGCAAAAAGACATTGGAGAGCAAAGACGAATAGTACGTACGAACTACTATGTGGCGAAATTCTAATTGGTCTTCCATCGGGTAATGGTAAACAAAGTACTCATTGCACAACTGGGGTGTTTAGTAATATCTGGTAAATGTCACTAAGTCTGCAAAAGCGATGAAGTGAAACAACCTCAACCTCCAATTACAAGCATAGCTAGTATATATTGAGATTAAATTGTACCATGAAAGCAGACATCAAGCATAAGCCCAACCGTGTCATATCTCTATACTCTTCCAGCCACGTTGTCCAAGACATCTGTCACAAGTGCAAAGTCCCTTTCTTCTTCCACCCTCCAGTTTGAGATTGCGATGCGACAAGCCGGTCTTCCTTGCCAGGAGGTTCCGGACACAAAAAGCTTAGAAGTCGCATTTATCTCCTTGGTTAAGTTGTCGTTCAACTCGTCGTCCTTTGCACTGAACAGCACTATGATATAGGTCTGGTCTTGCAACTCATCCTTGCTTGCCAACTCTGGCAAAGCATTGTACTTGGGATGATCGAATATCCAGCCTGCGATCATTCGACTAAGCCGGACTTGCTTCTGTAGCATCTCCTGATACCCAACCTGGCCATATGCCAATAGTGAGGCATACACCGGCAGCGCTCTAAACCGTCTCGAATTTTCCATACCGATGTTTAGTGGAGAAGGTATTGAGAGCGCTCCAGACTGCCCCCCAGACAAGTAGGCCGCATTTGCGTTTTGGAAAACCTTCTCAGCCTCACCAGGATGGCGACAAAGGACAAAGCCACAGTCATATGGCACGTTGAGGAATTTGTGAGCGTCACCTGCGATGGAGTCTGCTAGCTCCATACCTTCGCAACCCTTTGATATAGAAGAGAATTCGGCAGCGTTCAATATCCGGCCAAAGATTCCAAAGGCACCATCGACATGAAGCCAGGCTCCGTACTTGTCACAGAGGCTACGCAGGCTTTTCATTTCAGCCAAGCTTGACGTCGCAAAGTGTCCAGTATTGACCTCTCCACAGGAGACAGCGACGATACTCGCCTTATTGGTTTTCAGCTCTGCTTCAAGTCGTTCAAAGTCGATCTGAAGGTAATGGTTTTCCCGACAAATGCTCTTAACGTTGGCACGGCCTATGCCAAGGATTCCAGCGGCCTTTGCCAACGAAGAGTGAGGCATAGTTGAGAGAATTTGGACACCAGAGATTCCAGTAGCTTGAATGACTTCGAACAAGCCATATTCACCAACGCTATCAATATCGACTCCACTCTTCTTGGCAGCAGCGCGGAGGATAAACTCCCTCCCGCAAGCCAATCCATGAACATTGCTGGCCGTGCCCCCAGTGGTAAACGTTCCGTTATTCCAGTTGTGCCGATCCAATTTTAGAAGATCGGCAAGCAGACCGAGAGCAGTGGCTTCGACGTCTGTCGATATAGAATGCTCTGCAAGGTGCACTTGAACATTCTGATCGTAAGCTGTGACCAGATTGTCTGCAAATAGGGCTGCCGGGGTTACACCTCCAGTGATAAATCCGTAATAATTAGGACTTATGCTGCTGCGGTTGAAGGCTGGGACCAAGTCATTAAGGATATGTTGGGTGGCACTTTCGAATCCCGTTCCTTCAACAGGGAGAGACTCTGGTAGGGATGCTCTGGCTCGCGACAAGTCACTAGCACTAGGCAATACGTTGCCTGGTGTATATGTTTGGTTAAGCTCCCATAGCTTCTGATGTAATTGGCCCTGCTCTTGGGAGGTTCTTTCAATATCTCTTAGGTCCATTGCGTGAGTTGTGTCTTGGAATCAGTCAATGACTGAATTGGGTATACAACAAAGGATGAAAGTGACGGACTTGGCTGATACAGTGATTTATTGTGGATATATCCAGCTCCAGTCTTATACTGGTAAGAAAATCGTCTTGTAGTATATCCTGTAAGTGGACGTGAATAGTAGCCGGGTTGATGAGCGTGACTCAGAATACAGTACCGGCTGGACTTGCTGTATGGAGCAGAGTCGTCAAATATGCTGCAAGGATCTCCAAGACTGGGTCTGACAGTGCTAGTCACTAAAACAGCGTTATGGGGCATTTAGAGCAGCAAGTAGGCAGCACTATTGCAATGCCTCGGCGTCAGCGCTAGTAGTGTCTGACTTCAGTTGTGCAGGAAGCAAATGATAGGTGCGGTTATCTCCGAAGCGCGAAACTGCGTAAGAAATGGTGGAGAAACCAATCCTAGTACTAACGTAATCCACGGTTAGGTGGCCCACTACGGTGAGGTGGCCCATCAGTAATACTATACAAAAGAAGATAACTCAATCATTATAAGTCTGGAAGACTCAATATTACATAAATAGATTATAAATAATATAAATAACTATCTAGTACTCCTCAGAGATTTATATAAGTATGAATAGTATCTTTTTATAATATAATATATGTAATTTATCTGTAATTCTAGATATATCAATATATCTTATATAAGAAAAATTTTAAAAACTCTGGAGAAAATATATATCAATTTTTCTATTATATATTATTTATATGTGAAGTTATAACTAATCAATCTTTGTAGTGGTTGAGATATAAAAGGTTTAAAAAGGCTTCTTTTATATGGGATAACCAGATGGGCCACCTCACTGTAGTGGGCCACCTAACCGTGGATTACGTTAAAAGGAGTGATTTTGATGGGAAGCTTAATCGCGGCTCAGCATACCGTATTGTGAGGAGAAGATACCGTTACAGTTTACAGCTTCTCCCAAAGCGGAGGCTAGTAAATGGCAGACCTCCGCCGGCGGCAGTTGGACCCATCTGCCCATCTGCCCGTCACACCACCTCAATTCGCTTCGTAGGGAATTCAAGACATCTGCAATCCCATAGTCCCCATAGCTAAGAGTGCCACGACAATGGCTGCCAAGTTGATCGATCGGCGCTTCCATAATATTCCCGGTGCGTATGGATTCCCGGGTTAGGGAAAAATGTCACGCTAATGACAGGTGGGGTTATCCAGGCAGGCTCCGGGTGGCTGAATTGTTCTTCGATGTGCCTCTCAATTACAACAAGCCCACTGATGGCACTCTGAGACTGTTTGCCCGCAGTGTACGTCGTCTGGTAACGCCTGCTGAGCCAAGTGAGACCCCCAAGGACGACAAGCAGCTGCCGTTCTTGGTGTACTTGCAGGGTGGCCCTGGAATGGGATGCCGCCCCCCGCAAGAGTATGGTTGGATTGGAACAGTCCTCGAAAAGGGTTATCAGGTATATAAACCCACTGAACAGTAGTATATTTTAAGGGTTTCTTTCTCACCAAATAGGTCTTGTTCCTCGATCAACGTGGCACTGGTCTCAGTTCCACCGTCACAGCGGGCACCCTTGCTCGGCAAGGCAATGCCATCAAACAAGCAGAGTACATGAAGAACTTCCGCGCAGACAACATTGTGCGTGACTGCGAGGCTGTTCGTCGTTGCCTGATGACCGATTACCCCGAGGATAAGCGGAAATGGAGCATCATTGGCCAAAGCTTTGGTGGTTTCTGTGCCGTGACCTATCTTTCGATGTTGTATGCTAGCCCCGTCTTATGATGGTCTCAGCCGGATACTAACTAGCTATTCTACTACAAGCCCAGAAGGTCTCGCTGAGGCTTTTATCTGTGGTGGACTTCCTCCTCTCGTTGATAACCCAGACCCTGTGTATGCACGTACATACGGTAAGCAATCTACTTTGGTCCATTTAGTGCATGATGAGCTAAAACCGTACAGAAAAGGTCATCGAAAGGAACAAGGCATACTACGCCAAGTTCCCCGAAGACGTCGAAAGAGTCAAGCAAATTATCCAATACCTGAAAGACAACGAGGTCGCTCTGCCTACAGGAACACTGAGCCCGGAGCGATTCCAGCAAATGGGTATCCTGTTTGGCATGCACGGTAAGGACTTCTGAAGCGATTATTCTCCGATCCTTCTTACTAACATCTCATAGGTGGTCTTGACAGCATCCATGGTAATGGGTCCCAGCATTACTTAATACCTTTAACCCTCACTAACACGACATAGATCTCGTGCTACGTGCCTGGAACGACCTGGACGTCTTCGGCTTCCTCACCCATCCCACGCTCACCTCTATTGACAGTTTCGGCGGCATGGACAATAACATCATCTACGCTATTCTGCATGAGGCTATCTATTGCCAGGGGTGAGTCACTACCAACATTACCCCACTTATATTCTCACGAGCTAACAACATCGCTATGACAGTAAACCTTCCAACTGGTCCGCAGATAGACTACGCGCCTCCAACCCGGATTTCCAAATTGATGCCAACAAGTCTGAAATTCTCTTCACGGGTGAAATGGCAAGTGTCCCAACTTTCTTTAACCGACCGTCAACCAAATCAACAATACTAACTCATGATTACAGGTCTACAAAGACATGTTCGACTCCTACACAGAACTCAGCCAGATTCGAGATGCGGCCGACATCCTCGCCTCGACGGATGACTGGCCGGCGCTTTATGATGAAGCCCAGTTAGCACGGAACGAGGTTCCTGTCTACGCAGCCACATACATAGATGATATGTATGTCCACTTTGATCATGCGCAGAATACTGCGGCCAAGATCAAGGGTGCTAAGCAGTTCATTACGAATGTTATGTATCATAATGCCATTCGCAGCAAGTCGGATGAGCTTATTCAGCAGCTGTTCGCTCTGAGGGAGGATACTATTGATTAGAGGAATGGATCTTGGTTACTGGATCATGATATGCATGGTATTGTGTATAAATGCATTAGGTGTATCCTGGTCATATAGGAAAGTCTTGTGTAGCCTAGCTTGAGATGATATCTGATGCACTTTGGCGTGTTTGTACTAGAGATCTTTGACCAGAACATATTTCAAGGAAAGCTGTATATACCTCTATCAATGCAGGGCCAGAAACGATTAGAATACCTGGTAACCGACTGTTAGTCACTGTTCTCAACTGGAATAAGGAGCCGCTGCCTAACTCACCGCTCCGCCAATAATGAAGAGTCTCTCCTCTTCTTGATGCACCCAGTCTATTATCTTGCTTGCGCTCTGCGCCAATGCATTGCGGTTTGCATTTGCATTTGCAACGCAATAGAATTCGAACACCGGTGTCACCCATGCAAATGAGCTCGAGGATTGTGAGACACAGTGGTGGATCTTGACATGGGTGTGCTTAGCATGGATGCTTGCATGTAGGTTATTATAGGTGGACATCAGCCTGGAGGTATTGCTATTGTCAGTATTTGAGATATAATGACATAGTCGGTGGACGCGAGAACAAAGGGTTGTGCGTACCTGCGACGTCGGGATACCGAGGCAAATTCGGGGTCATACGCGGACATGGTGAATTGTACGTTGGCCCGTGACTTGTAAAGGAAGTGGTGCAGGACGGTCCCTGGAACTATGTCTGTTGTGCTGGGGCGGCCCTTGTCAACGGCTTCTCTGATGATTTTGAGACTGCCATTCTTCTCTAATTGCTGTGATTTAGGGTACTAGGTTAGCCTGCTGGCATGTTTTCATAAGAGGTATGGTCACAAACCTCGACGAATGCATCGCGCATGCCTTGCAACTCGAAGAAGCTTTCCTTATTGGCGCTTATCAGGATGATAGCAACAGACTCCTCTTTCGTGGTTGTGTCGTCGGCAGTATTGCCAGAGTCCTCTCGAAGATCGAGGAAGCTGACATACATGTAGAGGTACCCACTGCTGTTGAAGCCTGGTAGGCACACGGGAATCCAGCTCTCGCCACCACCAGCTTTAACAGCTTCGGCTTCGAAGATCATGTTGAAAAGCAGCTGCAGATCGCCCGGATGCAGAGAATGCTTCTTAGGTCGGACGACACTGACAAGCCGACCACCTGCGACGACCAAGCCATAGAGAAGGCCGCTGACCTTGGTCTTTAGAAGAGTGTTATTGATCGCTTGCCTATGAGACTTGCGGATTTTGAGACATTCTAATGCGGAAAGTAGTGTGGATGGGGAGCCTTTCGTAAAGCTGTCGGCTAACGTTGACAGAAGCGTCTCAGAGCCTTGGAGGGGCCGCTTGAGGTCGGTAGAAGGGCGGATAGAGAAGAGGTGGGTTAAGGATGGAAGGGTCAAAGTAGACAAGATTTGCATGTACAGGGCTTCCAACTGAAGTTTGAGCTGCGTTTCACTCTCAAGCATGCGACTGATCGCAGCCAGGTACAAAGGCCCCTTGTTGACCACCACGAACTTTGTATCACCGGCAGAGAAACTGCTTAGGCGGTCTTTGGAATCTTCATAGAACGAGATGATAGTCTGGATGACGCCAACATAGGTCGATATCAGACCACCGTCACCATGTCGCGTCCATATCGGTTTGCCAGCAGCTGAGAGGATAATGTAGTGTTTGCGTTTCGACTTCCAATTTTCCAGAACCAGTTCTGCACGGTTTTGTTGGTTAGCGAACGTAAGGACCGTTATCTGCGAGCTATGCATACCTTCGTTCTCCCCTTCTTCGCCAACGTCGCCCACTGGCTCGAATTCCGAGGCAAAGTCGTCTTCTACATCGTCAGCTTGGAACTCCGGGAATTGCAAGAGTCCCGTGTTAGGCTGGCGGATAAGACCAGGCTCCGTTGCCAGAAAGTCACCGAAGACATTATCGACATCGCCTAGATCTCCTTGAGGTATTGTGCTCCTGATACTAGCAGTATCGCCAGCTTCGCTTCCTCTTGGGCTGGCTAAGTGGCTGAGGCTGGCCTTAGCCTTCAGTGCGCCTTGTAAATTGCGCACAGCCAAAGTATCCTTTCCTGTATCTTGCGAAGCAACATCTGGGAGAGATACCGCCGTTGTAGCCCTGGACTGGAGAGCTGGTTGTGCAGGCTGCCGCGGTACCCGAAGAGATGCCCCTCCTTCGTCCAACAGATTCAATGTGCCTGGGCGCGGGGGAAGAGGCGGTGGCCGTTCATCGAGAACGGTGCTGTGATCACCGCCAGTAGA